GAGGGCATACAAAAATTGTGTGCCCAAATAGAGCAAAAACCCACTCAGACAGTTGTTCAAGAACAACATAATTGGCACAATTGCCATGATATTAAATTCATTAAGTAACTTTGTGTAGGACTTATAATGTGTCAATGTTGTGTGAGTGTTAATTTTAATTTATTTATTAGGCCATATTTAATAAATATTCTTGGTTTGAAAAATATTTTAAGGGGGGGGGGATGTCCCCACTGCTGGTGCCACCACTGGAAATATTAGCTAATTATAGCCAGGCATAGCTTCAATAAAATATATTGAAGTAAATATGACATCAAATATCTATTTTATTAAAAGCGATAGCTATGTGCGTGTTTCACTTGTATAATTTGGGACAACCCGAAAATACCCTTATGGAATTAACAAAATAAAACATGGGTATGAGACCAAGAATACTTATTGATGGCCTGTAATAGTAATATAATATTGTATATATTTTTAAATTAAACTTTTTAAATGTTGAATAAATCTAATTTGTAATGAAAATTAATAATGCACATAAGAATATGTTTAATAAAATAATATATAATTATTGTTTGGTGTGCTAGATCCATAATTAACTAATCCTTTGCCTGGTCAAACAATATGATTCTATTGCCATGAATTGCCATCGAATATAACAATGATTCCAGTGACAAACGTAGAGCCATATACATTTGGGTATTTATTAGTGCAGATTTACTTTCCCCATAATGTGCACAGAGTACATTGTGAGTAGACATGATCAACAATGTGCAGTTTCCATAATCTGAAAAATACAAACAGCGGTAAATATTTAGATGATATATGCATAAACCGACATAAGTTTTGTTTCAACAAAGCATGGCTGTGTTCACAAATTTATACATTAAAATTATATGTATAGTAGAAATGCAAGAGGAACAACATACTTTTTATACAATTTGAAAGAGAATTATGCAAATATCAACGGCCTGCCCGGGGGTACACCCCCGGGACAACTGGGGGGAAACGAGGGGGAATTTGGTATTTGATCTGTGTGTTCTGCCTGTGAACCCCGGGGAAATTAGGGAGTGGTCATTATTTATGGGGAGGGGGGTGTTGGGAAATGGGAAAAATAAGGATTGAAAACTTTTTTGACCCCCCCCCCCTACAGAACTGAAGGCAAACTTTTTGTGCCTCCCCCCTCATAAAAGTAGAAACTTTTCTGACCCCCACCCCCCAGTGTGGATTGAAAAATTAATAGCAATGAAACAGGTGTGCATTGCATGTAAAGTTAGATATTAGGACAATCTGTTTAATGTAGCTCATGATGTTTTACCCTGGTGAATATGATTCAACCATATGTGATTAAAAGTATATATTATGTGTTACTATTTTGCAATGCAACATTTGTCCTACCATAACCCTAACCCATGACCCATCTTCATACAGCAAAATGATTTGAACACAGGATTTTTTTAAGAACTTGTCTGGGCACCAACCATGGTAGTGCCTCGCAATCATGGGAGTCGGGCCCACTAAGTTTAACAAGCTTGCTACCCCCTGAGTGACCCAGTTGTGGTATTTACATAAACATACCATGCAAATACACTTAACTGATCAGATTTGGTCTATCAACGCACAATGTAACGCTGTATATCCAAAAATCTGTTTCAGAAAATGCTCACATTTCAGTTCTAGGGGTGGAAAAATACAAAAAATTTTCTGGGGGAGAATCCCCGGACCCCCTACTAATACATACGATACCACACCAAGCTTTTTGTCACCAACAACCATCTGTCATCTCTCCACACTCAATATAGTATGGTCCCTTTTTGTAGATGCCCACCCCTGAGCAGGGAAATTTTGAAAATTTTGAGTCTCTAGATCTTGGAAATAGCATTTTCAGAGTCGTCTTTTTTGCTATTTGTGATTATAGAAATCAGAACTCTAGGGCAGGGGGAATTAATGCATTAGAACCATGTTTTTGCAAAGTCCCGGGGGTGTACCCCCAGGGCAGGCCATTGATATGTGCATTATATACAAGTAGTAATCGAGTTGAAATATTATATAATAGTAATAAATTATAGTATATTTCAATAAATGAATGTATGGTACAGTACAAGTGTTTCATTAAAATTTTGAAAAATGCCTCACCTGTAGTGCTTTTCAGCTTTTGTTGTTTATTTATTAACATATGGAAACAGAATCACCATTGATAGTCCTCGAAATTTCAAAAGTTTGTTTCCCATCATGACAATTATTTCAATTTTTCGTTAATTTAGTAATTTATTACTCATTTTCTACGGCTCCACACAAAATACTGTAGGTCTGCACCTACCGATACTCCAAAAGCATACATGCGACATGGGCAAAAATACCACCATTCGTTCAGCTCATTTATATTATCTGTTTGGATCATCATTTATACATTTCACAGCAGAAATTGTGGAGATAGTCGCTCGAATGAATTAAAGCTCCAGCTTGAACATGATAGTAGTTGGTAAAGTTCAGAAGAAACCTTTTACACCTATATGTAACTAATATTTTACTAATTTCAAATCTTCTCCAATGTACTCCTTTTTTAAAAATTATAAAGATCAGTGGCTCTCTGGTCAGGGGGGAGTGAGAAATGTCGCCCGCACGCATTTGAGCTGTGGTCAGTTAACATACCATGAGAATAGTGGACGCGGAGCTCGAAATCCGCCATGTTTTTGCGGACACTTTTCATTTGCGAGCACGATCTCCAGATATATATAGTAGAGCTCAGTGGAAAGACCCTGGTTTCGGCTGGTCACGTGTCACCCAGATTCTGGGTGATAAATTAAAATGATACTATGGGCAGGGTGGGAGAGGAGCGTGTTTGTCGCGTTTGTAACAATATTTGCAATTCTGTGTGATGAAATTTAAATTTGCAACAAGAAATCGTGAAGAGAACTGCAATTAAAAATTAATATTTATCGTGATGTGACTTTCTGCTCTATAATCTAGTGTTGAGTTACAATTCAAGCAAGTTGGATCAGATTTCAACTTACAAAGAAAGCACGCCTGGGCGGCGTGGCAATATTAAGCCTACAAGAAAATTCATATCGCTAGACCGACCAATGTGGTTTATATTTTATATTTAACTGTTAGTATTAAAGTATATCCTGATACTCGGACCAAAAGAATATATTTATTGATGAGATGTGGAATTGGAACGAAATAGCGAGATCTTTTAATTTGATTTCCGAAATATCGCCAAGACGCCAACTGTATCGAGATTGTTGATTATATTAAAAGGCCTTATCACAAAACTTAAATCCCGTCAAAAGACTATAAAATTTCCTGCAAGATCTCAACGATCATGGTATATGTCAAAGTGTAGCTGTCTGTTGAAAATCTACGGTATTTAATAAGTAAAGTCATACATCAAAGATAAGTCAAACGACAATATATTTGTCTTACTGTTTACTACTGTGTTTATACCACATTTATAAATTTTATAAACAGCTTTCGTTTTGACACAAGCTTTAATTTTCTGCTTTATATATATTCTTAATAATACAAGTGAGATTTAAATTTTTTGCTTTGTGAAATAGAATACCGTTATTTTTTAATGGACAGCTTGTATCGTCTCTATCATATCCAGGATTGCTTGTGTGCAAATAGCCTACATGTATCACTATATATGCCACTATCAAATAAATATAGAAATATAAATGAACTTATTGAACTAGAAATAAACAGATGATTGAGGCACAATGAAAACTGTTAGTAGCCTTAGTAGAAGTAGAAAACTCGAAAATTTATGTGTATTCGTATGGCAGTCTGTGCGCGCCTGACACTGTAAATTTCAATATTTGTGATGTAGATTATAGCCTAGTTGTATGCATATTAGGAAAACATTATCTGACCAAGAAAAAGGCTAAAGCCTTACTATAATTAATGAATACGAATTATGTACTAAATCCAAAATTTTAAAGATAAATCACTGACAGACATTTCTCTGTTTGGCTAGTATCAAATGTTTACATTTGCTGATATTGGGCTCTCTCTAGTCCAAGACAATACAATACAATACTGTTTCTTTTAAAAATCTTATAAACAAGACGTGCAAAGCATAGCAACGTTTACAAAAAAGGACAAATCTAATGCTTGTTTTAAAACATTAGATATGTAGAAATGGTGACCACTGAAAGGCCCATAAACGTTTGTTATAAAACCGCGCTCGAGAGTGAAGAGAGTATTGAATAAAACAACACGAGAGAGCACTGCGAGTAACGATTTGCTTGGTTTCTTGACTTGACTGTTGGTAAAAATGTAAGAATGTTCTTGTAAATTCAATGCAAATAAAATAAACAAAAATTAGCAAGTATTTTGAACTTACTGCTAAGGTAGTTCGCAAAATTTATGTTTTTAACTGTTTGTAATTTGATACTTTCACCACACCCCCCTCGGGCAATCAATTTTGGACGAGGCACGTGACCAGCCGATACCAGGGTCTTTCCTAAAGACCCTGGGAACGAGGTTGGTAATTACAGAGGCCTCAGAAATTACAGATGCCTTTAACTTTCATTTCACCAATGTTGGCAAAAATTTAGCGAATGACATTGGTAAATCCAATGTAAATCCTATTCAGTACATTAAAAGGCCAAATTGTGTTTTTTCATTTCAAGAAATTCATATTGATAAAGTCAGGCAGTTTCTAAAACATATAAACGTTGCGAAATCTACTGGTCTGGACAATCTTCCGGGTAAACTAGTAAAAATTGCAGCCGATATTTTAGCACCTTCCTTAACCAAACTATTCAACAAATTACTATCCACGAGCATCTATCCTAGTGATTGGAAATTGGCCAGGGTTGTTCCTATATTTAAAAATGGTGACAAATCAGATTTGAATAGTTATCGTCCAATCTCCATAATCTCAAGTGTTGCAAAAGTTTTCGAAAAAATCGTATATGATCAATTTTACGAGTACTTGTCAGTGAATGATCTATTCTCGCATCAACAATCGGGATTTCGACCTACTTACAGCACTGTAACGGCTCGAATCGAATCGACTAATGACTGGTGCGTAAATATCGATAATGGTCTGGTAAATGGAGTTAATTTCATTGACCTAAAAAAGGCCTTTGATACTATTGATCACGAAATTCTCATAAATAAACTTGAATGCTATGAAGTTGATTGCAGTGCTCTAGGCTGGTTTAAATCTTATCTGTCCGATCGTAAGAAAAAGTGCTTCGTAAATGATACACTATCCAGTAGCCGTTCTTATACTTATGGTGTTCCGCAAGGGTCAATAATTGGACCTCTCTTGTTTCTGGTCTATATTAATGATTTGCCAAATTGTATGAATGACGGTTTAGCAAGAATGTATGCCGATGATACCAACATAACTTTTCATAGCCATGATCTTTCTGAGTTGGAAGACGCAATGAATGCGGAATTGATCAATCTAAATACCTGGCTACAATCCAATAAATTAAGTCTTAATATTGCAAAAACCGAACTTATGGTCATTGGCTCCCGTCAGAGACTTGCAACCTTCAGTGAAACCAACGATTTAAATGTCTTTGTAGACAACGAAAAGATCAAAAAAGTTCAATCTACAAAGTCATTAGGTCTAAAAATCGACGAGCACTTAACTTGGAAAAACCATATCAATAATATTACCAAAAAAATTTCGTCCGGTATTAGTGCTCTTAAGCGCGTAAGACCTTTCGTCAATAGAGAAACGGCTGTGAAGGCATACAGGGGCCTGGTCGAGCCCTGTTTTACTTATTGCTCTCCAGTTTGGGATGGTATTGGTTTAAAACTGGGTGAGAAAACTACAAAAGCTTCAAAATCGTACGGCTAGGGTAATGACCAGGTCCTCGTATGAGGTTTCGTCAGCATCCCTACTTTCCGAGTTGGGATGGAGTGTTTTGGCAAAAAATCGCATGAAGCAAAAAGCTATCCTAATGTACAAAGTTAATAATAATTGTGCTCCTCAATACTTGCAGCAGTTATTTACACCAAAAGTGAGCAATTATGATCTGGGAAATTCTCTAAATAAATTGTCTGTTTCAAAACCTCGAACAGACTATTTAAAACGTTCTTTCAGCTACAGTGGTGCTTCCCTGTGGAACAGCTTGTCAGAACAGCTCAGATCAGCCCCTTCTCTCAATTCATTCAAAGTCGAATTGACTATATCCTATAGTATACTGAGTATATGGACTCTTGCACGGCAATCATGTAAAACAGTAATTATTATTTTTATCTTTTGACTAACATTGTATATATTTAAAGTTGTGTATTTTATTCTTGTACTGATGGTTCTTCCGTGTTGAAATAAAGTGTATGTATGTGTGTATGTGTGTATGTATGTATGTATGTAAAAAAAAGACTTACCTTTACGTGACCTGACGTGGTGGCAACCGTTGGCAATTTATTGGCAAAAATTATATCTACTTTAAATATTTTTTCCACTTATTCTGTAAATTTCCAAAGCTAAGAATATTGTGATCATCAATTGACAATTTTCTGGTTCGTTTGGTATCTTCCAGTGGTTATAATATCAGGTTATACATTTGACCGCCTGATATACGAAGAGTCTCATAATTTGTAGACATCGCCTTCTTCTGATTGCTTATTTAAATATCAACATAATAATTGTTACAGTGGTCCTTGGTCCTTGGTATTGCTTCATACTATCCAAGTTATTTATTCTCGAAACATACTGTGTTCTCGCAATTATTTTCAATATTTTGCGTCTTGACCGTTGGGATTTGTTTTGACAGGGCTAACGTTTCGTAGCAACAGTAAATTTGAATTTTGCGCGTGACTTCGTGGCTTTATAACTTTTATTATTTCAAGTTCTGGAACAGTAAACAGTTCAAGGACTTTATTTTATTGTGGTGGCTTACAAGTTAGTCAACTCTGCTTGATGCTAAACTGTTTGCTATCTATCGGCTAGTCTATACTATTGATTCATTTTCCTTCATTGGCGTGGTTTTCCCTGACATTGCAGCGGGATTTAAGCTCAAGTATCTTTCGTATTAATTACAAATTCCCTCAAGTGCCCATCGCACTTATCGACCGCCGTCTGCTAAATAATCTAATCAACAGAACGTTTAAATCGTACTTTCTCCATCATGATGCTGATAGATTTGATGAAGTTTTGCTGTAGAAACCTTTACCTCTGGTTATTTCTCTATATCTATATTACCTTATGTGGTCTTTATGTCCCAAAGAATTGTTATGTCCCAAAGAATTGTTCTAACATTGTGCAACAACATGCTATTTTCTACATATGCAAGGAAATCGCAACAACTAATATCATGAGTCTAGTTAAATACGGTTGTCGGCGAAAAAGGGAAAAACGAAAATCATTGCCGAATTCATCAAAGGTTTTCTTTGGGTGCCGTTTACTGCTATACGCAATTTTCGCAGTTCTAGTTATTTCTATATCTGGTGATGTATAATCTAACCCTGGACCTGCATCGATTACTAATAGTCATCAAGCAAGTGGTTTTCTTCAATCTCGGGGTCTTAAAGTTGCACACCTCAATATCAGAAGTATCTACAATAAAATAGATTCATTAAAGCTTCTACTTAATGAAAAAC